AGAGACTGCCTGGGCAATGGCACAAAGACCTCTAGTGGCCACCTTTTCCGCATGAAGCTCTCCGCTGCCCTCAGGGCAGTCGAACCTCTTCTGGACCACTGCAGTCAAGTCTCTGATCCAACCACCCTCTTCCCCAAGAACATTCTTGGGGAAATGTATTCTGGTGCTAAAATAAGGATTTCTGCTCTGGTTGGTGTAACTCGGACTTCAACTCCAGAGTAGCCATCTTCAGCCAGCTGCTGAGTGAGAAAGCCATTCAGTTCAGTTTTGAGGGTGCCATCAGCCACAAACTTTCTCTTCTTGGAAATCTACACCACCATCTCAGTGCTGTGAGCCGCCAAAAGGAAAAAGGTCATTTAACCTTTTCATCCTACTTTTGGTGAATACCTTGTTAGAAATGCAAACATCCAGCCCATGGTCCTTTGTAAATGGCTTCTCTCACTTGGCGTGCTTTTAAGTTGGGTCCCTGTTGTAGCATATGTCAGCACTCCACTCTTTGGTAATGCTGCTGTAAGTATTTCAAACATGTTTTCGTATAAGTTCTGGACTCCTATAGTCCTCTAAATGTAACTGTCTCATTCTCTGAGCAACTGCAGGATAATTTTGCAAGATTGTATCACTTTACATTCCTACATAACCTCTCACACCTCCTCACTATCAGACTTTTTTATGAGAGCCATCCTCATTGGGTTGAAGTATCTTGTCTCAGTCTTGATTTGTAATGATAATTAAAAAAAAAAAAACTTAACATCATTTAAAATAAAATGGCAGGCTTTTGCCCTAGCTGTTGATTGCCTACCAGAAATAGGTAAGACCTAATTGTTAAAGATGTAATGCATACACTTTGATTTTAGGATATAGAGAAATCAAACTGGAACCAGGATGGAATCCTGATCCCTGCTAACCAGCTCTTACAGTGCCTCAGGGTGCTGGTCAGGCTGCTCCAGAGGAATTGTCATCAATTGTCTTACTCGGCCATGGACCCTGAATGCTCCACTACTGACCAAGCCAGCAAGAAGTGCCCACTTGGGCAAATTTGTAGCAAATTTGTGACCAGGGTAACTAACCCCTCCCTGGCGAGATCTGCAGTCTGCTCCTCAGGATGGAATCCACATCCTATACTGTATTCTGATCAAAGATCAGGGCTGTGCAGATTGTAGGTCTTAGCGGGAAAGCTATGACTATTGTTTTGCTAAATGAATACCATGTGTCCATCAAAGTAACTTTGAAATAAGTATGTTCATACCCTACATTAGTGCAGAAAGGCTTCTTTTTACAGCGGGCCATGGTAACTACATGGCTCATTAGTAGCCAAAGTGCTGGCCACTTTGGATGCTCAGCCATGAATAGAACTTTATATCACTCCCTCTAAGGATCACTGCAGAACACTGAAGAAGATGGGGCAGGAAGGATGTGAGAGGTGGAGGAAGGTGTGATGTCATGTCTTCAGAGCTTGACATTGCCATTGCATTCTTGCCCTCACAGCAACTGAGATAAGTTGCAGGAGACCTGTGCAAGACTGGCTCTGTGGGCTTCCTGCTGTGTGGGTCCCAAAGAGGCCTAAGGACCTTCAGGCAGATAATAGTAGCTAATGAGGAGGTAGGTGTTCACCACCCCAGTATCTATGGGGACTTAACGATGCTGAGGGAAAGAGAGAGATTTTTTTTTTTTTGGTCAGTGGTGTAGCTGCTAGTGGAGAGACCATGCTCCCATGAATAATCCCTCATCCTGGGCCCTGTACACAACCTAAGTGAAACTCACTGAGTTTTATCAAGAGCTTAAATGAAATGAAAGTAGAAGGACCAGAAAGAGAATCTGCAATAGCAGAAAATGAGATAGGGTGATAGAGTCAGTATTTAAAAAAAAAAAAAAAAAACACAACATATATATATATATATGAAAATGCTCTAATGAACCATTATGTATATAATTAACATACATTAACAAAATCAGTAATTTAAAATAGCTCAATAAAGCCATGTCTCGGTAAGGCTTTGAATAAACAAATATGCATGGTATATGATGTGGAGCACGTGTACCTCAGTCCACGTGTGGAAGTCAGAGGGCAGTTCCGTGGAGTTATTTCCCTACCCCCTTTTACTTTCACATATAACCTGAGACTTCTGTCATAAGAGCCAGCCAAGAGCAAATATGCTTATTGGGGATGTATGGAGTGTACAGATTTCCCATGGGACAGTTATACGCACCTCCAGCGACCCTCCCTTGTCCTAAAGGCTTGTAACAAAAGGTACTTTAGGGATCATTTTAAATTGCAGAAACATAAGATCCTGTAAATAAAGTCCAAGTAAAAACATGAAATTCATTCGCTTCATACATATTTTATACAAGTCTCCTCAAGTTAGTTCTATACGATGCTTTTAGCACAGCTGTGTTTTGACTGACGTCATCTGAGAGCATGTGACCATTTGCCATCATGTGGCCACTCAGAAAAATATCAGATTTTGAAGTATTTTGTATTCCAGATTAGGGACACTCAACCTGTCTATCAGAATATAGACCATATTTAATTTTTTGAAGGATTTGTTTGTTTTTATTTTCTGTGTATGAGTGATTTATCTATGTGTATGCATGTACAGCATATATGTGTGCCCTGGTGCTCTTGGAGGCCAGAAGGGGCCAGTGCATACCCTGCAACTAGAGTTAGAGATGGTTGTAAGTCTTCGTGTGGGTGCTAGGATTTGAACCCCAGTAATCTGCAAGAGTAGCAAGTGCTCTTGACTAATGAGCCCTCTCTCCAGACCCTGTCCTTAATTTTTGACCAGGTGTTCCATCTCTAAGTATGGGAAAAACATGTTAGGAAAAGGTATATCCTTCTGCTGCTGCTGCTACTACTATGGCTCCTATTTATAAGTTATAATATTACAAACTTGGAACCTAACTGAACTAACTGTCTGCTAAAAGGAAATAAGTTAATTGAATGCTGATGCAAAGTGGAGTATCTAGGCAGTCAGTACAAATGGCACAAATGGAGTATAGGTTCAGTGCTGTGGACTCTTTCTATACCTTATCGGATGGGGAAAAAAATGAAGTTACTGAGTCCGTGCGTGAGAAGATCCCAACTGGGAAAGACGCCTTTGTGACTAGAAAGGGCTCTGCAACGATGTCTAAAACATTAGCAGTGAGTGGGTTGCTAATGGTAGAAACTTAGCCTTTCGAGCTCTGTGTTTAACTTAGCTTAAAAATCACTCTATAATTTCTTGAAAAACTATAAAATGAGTTGAAAAGACTATGCATTTTAGAAGTCACATTCATTTTTCACTGGGGCCTAAGTTTTAGTTAAATACCTTTCCCCTATCATTACTTTTAAAAACCTCACAGCCATGTACTCAGGATATAAAGGAAGCCATTCCTGTGGTGATTCTATCCACTCGGTGAGAACAGTGTCTCCGCTCTTCCTTCGGAGAATTTTATTATGTGCTTTGGTCTTTATGGAGTTCTTTATATGTAGAAGTGCACAAGGCCTGTGACTCTGGAGTCCTGACAAAGCAAAGGCAGAAAGGGTTCTCCACCTGTCCTGACTCTTGGGCTAATTGCTCGGGTCCATATATGTTCTCTCTTCTGCCCCACTTTGCGAGAGACCAACAGTGACAACCTGCTTTCCCTTCGCGCTTATTATGAGTTCAGAAGTGTCCCAAGCACACTGTGTTACGTCACTCATCTGAGCCTCACAGTGATCCTGTGAAGCGGACATCATAGTTATTAAGGTTTACAGATGAAAAGCCCAAGGCACAGAGAGTCAGGAACCCAGCCAGAGTCTCAGCAGCAACTGGAGCCCAGTTTGGCTTCAAAGCCCCTGTGGCCTTACCTGCTCCACTCTCCCACCTGTCTGCCTTCCCTCTAAATGTGTTTCCAAACACCTCGTTGGTTTTCCTTGTTTTTATTTTGTTTCCCCAAGTTGTCCTTTCTGCTGAAAATGCTGGGGGTTAGTGTGTTAAGTTTGCCTGCCTGGGCTTTCCTGCAGACCTTCTTCCTCTTCAAAGTAGGAGATCCATCTAGCGAGAAAAATCAAGTATTTTCAATGTGTTTAAGTTGTGCCTACCGGCTCTTTCTCGGGCCACCTGGAGTCCTTAAGCTTATATGGAAAGGCTGGTGGGGGTGGGAAGGTGGCTAACAGAAGGATGGCTGAGTCTGATCCTTTGGAAGAAACCATTACTTTTATGAGGTTATTTATTCTAGTCATATCGAAGGTGTTGTAGGGTCATTCTAAAAATTTTGGAAAATACAAAAAAGTATAAAGAAAAAATTACAAACACAGATGGTCTGACCACCCGATGACAACCACTTGTAACCATGCGTTCCAACACATGTGCCTGGAAGCGATCGATGTACGCCCGCTCTTGAACATTAGGTCTTGTCAGTAAATGTACAGGTGGCGACTTTGGGGTGGTCTACCCACGCAGTTTAGGGTGCAGCACTGTGTCTGGTTTAAAGGCGTGCCACAGTGGGTGAGAGTAAAGCCTCGTAATTTCATGCTGCGGCTTGATTTTTAAATTAAAGAAATGAAGGCATCGTGGATGTTTCAATACATTAATCTGAAAAGGTATACAAAGATAGAATGACCTCAACAATTTTATTTGCCCCTAAAAGTGATTTTTTTTTCCATTCTTATTTTACTTTTTGCCTAACAGGAACCGCATATATAGCAAGCCTTCAACGGACGTGTATTAAGTTCACATAACTAAAATTAAGATCCACTTGAACTACCATCAACATTCCAAAATTTTTGTATCCGTATTGTTGGTTTTTAATAGTTTTTCTGTTTTGTTGTGATTGAAGTTTGGAAAAGTTTATTGAGGCTGTTCTATTGGGAAAAGTCCCAATTCCAACCATTATTAAAAACAACAGCCAAGGAAACTCATGATCTGGCACATGGCAAGGAACCAGGATGTTAATTTCAGTTTGAGCTGCAATGGCTTGTGCTGAGCTTAGTATTGAAGACAAAGCCCGTCTAATCCCAGTATCTCCTCCTGTGCTTTCAGGCATCTGGCCGGCTGAGGAGGTTTTGGCTTACTACTGCCTCAAGCACAGTAATATATTCAGGTAAGAGTCACAGTTAACAGGTATCTGTTTAGCCCATGATGGATGTTGAATTTGCCTATTGAAAATGGCCCACTCTACAGCCTCCAAACTGTAAATTGTTCAAAGGAAGAAAGAGGAAGAAAAAGGAAACAAGTTCCCCAGAACACATGTTGCTTCTGAAAAAGGATCTGCATTGCCTTTGGGTACACAGCAAGCTTCTGCTGTGTGTCAAAGGCTTTTGATTTTCACTCAAGGCATTTTATTTCGCTTTGATTTGGGGGAAACAAAAGTGAAGGTACAATCAATCCTTGCTGATTGTGAAGGTCAAAAAATAAAGAAAGAAACATGTTCTGTAACTTCTGCTACGGAAGTCACTAACACATTTGCTAAATGCCTCACCATGATCAGCTGAAGACGCTCTGGTTTTAAAGGTAGTTCTTGTGTCATTGACAAAATGTCAGTATTATTAAATGTCAACAATAATATAAATTACTGTACTAAAGATATGATAATTTTAGCTGTATGAAACCATAGGTGGGATTTAGGAAAGAAAAAAAGGTCCTTTATTTAAAAATTCTGGGGATCTTTGGTACAGCCAAAAAGTAGAATTTGCTTTTTTTTTTCTTTCATTTTAATTATGATTTTGTGAACATCTTTATATATATTTCCCAAATAGTCCGTTATGTTTATAATAAGCCATGATGTGTTTTAACTATATATTCTTAAAAGATTGGGTTGATACCATGTAATTTTCGAAGCTCTGTGGGTCCATATTTACCAACAAATCTGTGATTGCTTTGAAAAACTAAATGTACATCAAAATAGTTTCTAGTATGAATGTCCTCTTTTGTCACCACCCCCTACCCACCATCACTTTAATTTTGTTTTTTTTTTTTATTTTCTCTCTCTCTTTTCTCATCACCTTCCCAAACTGGGAAGACAAAACAATGTTAAGACTCTAAGCATGTAACATATGAAGAGGGCAGGTCTGAAGCAGGGCCACACAGCTGCCCTGAGGGCTGGCATTTGCTCATCTCACTGTGCTTATGCTCCAATCAGCAAGCAGTAGGCTGGGGCGAGAATGGCACACATTGAGGGCTGATGTTTAGGCACAAAGGGGGAAGGTAAGTGTAGAACCGCACACTCAGCCTTAATTTCGAGCCCAGTCATGACGTCAGTCCGGGTTTGCTGGTGTAACCATTTATGCCTTTGTATTGTTTATTCACTGTGTTGTGCTGGGGTCAATTGTAATATAAGTGTTAATTGCTAAATGCTCTCTATGTGATTGTGCTTTATGGGGGTGGTTCAGCTTTCCAAAATGTTTCAGCTTGTTTGAAGAATTAAAAACAAAAGCAAACAAACAAACAAAACAACAACAGCCACCTCAGGGTTGCGTTTGTTTGTGTATTTGTGTGTGACTCACGTAAGTTCATACTCACTCATATTTACTCTTCATTTACTTGCCTAACTGTTTTTGAAGGCATGAATGTGGATTAACAGTGTTATCCTTTCCTAACAATTATCTTTCGCTACTCTAGCTAGTTTAGTTCCAAAAGACAGCACCATTGACAAGGGAAAAAAGGGACCTTCTCAGATTTTTCAGCTCAGCGGTGGCAATGTTTCAGTGAACGCTAATGAGGGGACCCCCACTGGTTTGCCTGCTTTGTGACTTTTCTATTTCATAATTATTTTTAAAACGCAAAACGACATGAGGTAGCCCAGTCGTGTCTCCGCAACTCCCCGGTAGTGTCGGGCTCGCTGCAGATGGCAGTTTGTTCTGGTAACATATATGTGGCTCTGACCATTTTCATCTAATTTGTATGGGTTCTACCATTTCTTTCTCTCTTTCAGGGACCTTGCTGTGTGTGAGCTAGGGGGTGGCATGACATGCTTGGCTGGGCTCATGGTAGGTCTTTTCTCAATTCCAATCCCATTCAGAGGGAGGAACAAAAGGAAAAATGTTCCAGGGCCTCCAACTGCTGGGTCAGAGAACCGTCAACAGCATCAGCTGCGGTCAAGCTGCCGGGCCTTGAGAGACCTTCTAGATTGACTTACTTTCGGATCATATTGATTTTAGGGTTGCCTGGATGAGCAGAAACATTTTACCTCAGTGTAGTCAATATCGCTTGTTGTGACATTCCAGGCCCCGCACAGTCTTTCTTTGCTGTAGCGAAAGCATTTTTTTTTTTTTTTTTCAGATTATAGTCCCATTTGCTAAGATACAGGAATAGCCTGGCGAATCACAGTTGGAGCACCATGAGATAGCTGCTAATGTTTTGCCTGCATTATTACACCAACAAACATGATCCAGAGCGCTCAGTAATTAGATTCTTTTGAATTAGATTGGCCATTCAGGAACGTCGTTCCCCATTCTCTGGGTTCTGAGTCATGTATTCAGGAGATATTATGTAGCAGCACAGTGCATTAGACAAGTTTTTATGTCTCTACAAATAAAAGCATATTGTTACACTGATTGGCATTTGACAAACCTGTCGCTCTTATACAATGTGGCGAGGTTACAGCCCAATGTGCGAGCATGTCAAAGCTCACAAAAAAATTACCCTCACAAAGCCATCTGCCTGCAATGCAAAGTTATATGAAGGGCATCAGGCAGCCAGACAGAAGCAAGCTGAAAGGCAGAGTGACAGCCTTGTATGATGGCTCTACTAGATAAACAGAAGCCCACAAATGAAAGCCTCTCAGAATACCATCATCCGCTGTCACAATGCAATTACCGAACAGAATGATAGCAAGATAGAGGCTCCCGCAAATGGAATGATAAAAGTATTGACTGATTTGATTGAATGATTAAAATAATGCAGACATAAAATGAAAAAAGATTGAAGATTGTTACAGAGAAATAGGTGAGGAAGCATGATACTGAAGGCTTGTCACTCCTGTCTTCACTTCCACACAGACAAGCATATTTGCTCATTGTTTGCTGTGCTCCTTTTTTTTTTCTTTCTTTCCTTTTTTTTTTTTTCAGGTTGCTATTTCTGCAGATGTCAAAGAAGTTCTGTTAACTGATGGGAATGAAAAGGCCATCAGAAGTATCCTTATTCAGATAGAAAGCCGGTTTGTTGTGCTCATTCCTGTCCCCCTCCCCGCGGAGTAACAATTGATATAAAGAAAGACAGCACGGGGTATTAAAAAAGAGCTCTTCATACACATGACCAGTAATTAAGAAAAACTAAAAATATGTGAATTCACTGTGGATGACTGTGTGTACTTCTTCCTTCTCGTAGGGTTGCCAGACACTTCTCACTGAAGGAGTCTATGTTTTCTGAGCCTCCTGAGGCAATTTGAAATTTTATTTCCTAATTTTGAAGCATTCTTGCTCTTTTATTTTCATTGAGATCTTCCAGCCCCAAGCACATTAAAATTATTATTTACTCTATCCAATGTTGCTTGTAAATATTAATGTCTAGCGTGTATGCATGTGACATTACACACGCCAGTCATACTGTACCTATGCTAATTGCTAAGGAGTTGCCCGTATCCCCTACTGGAAACAGCTATCGCTTCTTCATTATCTCCTTTTATTTAGGATTAAAAAGCTCTCTCTCTTTTTTTCTACTCTGCTATTACAGTTCAAACCCCATTATATTAGATTATGCTTTACTAATATGTACATAGACTTCAGAAAATTGAACTGTACTTTAACTAAGAAAGCAAGCATAATTTATGGCTACTTTAGCAGGCTAGCTGATTTGCTCAGGGGGCAGTTAGCAGCAGTTAGAAATTGAGAGGAAAAGTGGAAGATCTGTTTGCTTTGGATTATTATTATTTTTTTGACATGGTGAGGAAGCTGTACAGGACCGACCCTTATTTGATTTTTTTTTTTTTTTTTTACTCCCTTCAAAAGCTTGAAGCAGCTTTGAATTTTGTGGCATTTTACATAAAGCCCATTTTTCTGTTTTTTATTTTCTTTCCCCGCTTCCTCCACTGTGTAATTTTTCGAGAATAAAATCCACAGCAGCTCCATCAGCTGCTCGGATAGGAAGCAGGAGGACCGAAAAGCGTGGTAGCTAATATTGCTCGGCAGCTGGGAGCTCTGCAGAGCCCCACCCAGCTAATTGCCTGACAGCCCTTTAAAAGAAAAAAAAAATTCAGGAAGGCAAAACAGCCAATCACAACCTTGGCCTTTCACACCCGGAAAAGAGATCACAAAAGGTGCTTCTTTTCTTTTTTAAACATAGGATTTTAATCATGATCTTGAGACTGTGGCAAGTTTTTCTAAATATTCCTGAAGACGGCTGCTGCTGCTCCCTTCACTGCTTTATTCTGCGTTCTTCTGTGCCCGTATCATTTCACTGTTCTCCTCCTTGTCAGGGAGCATGAGAGAAACGGGAAGCTCTCAGGTGTGTCTCTTCAGCCCCACACGGTGTTTTTGAGGGAAGAAAACAAAACAAAACAGGAATATTGAACAAGAGAGAGATGTTTTTGGTTACAGAAACTTTCAGATTGGGCCCAGTACCCTGAGATCTTTTTCCCCCAGAAGTCAGCAAGTGACTTTATTTAATAGCACCGGAAATCAATTAGAACTTTTTATCATCAGACTGTGGGAAGCATCTGGAATCAGTATTTAAATTTAATTGTTCTAAAATTATTATCGAGCTAAACTTCAGAGTCCAAAGAAGGGAAGCAAGGCTACTGTCATTAATTATTGTCGCACCTTTGCTTTGCACAGCAGAGATGCCATGCCAGCCCCTGGAATCAGAGAGGAAATCTCAGATTCTGCCATTCACTCTGCTGGCCTTTCAAAGAAATGATTGGTGCAGCCCCCTCCCAAGAAAATGGATTTTTAGCATTTGGTCCTCGGAGGCCCAGCCCTGAGAGTGCTTCATTGTGCTGGTTTTACAATGGGTTTAATATAGGGGGGATGCCAAAGGGCAGGAGGGGAGAACCTTACAATGTAGATGAAGTAGGTCCTTTCAGGATGCAGACCCAAACTGGCCGTGTGTTTTATTTCTTCTCTTAGGGCCTTCCTGATAGGGCTCGGGTTTTATGGTGTGCTCTTCCATGTTTGTGTGCCTTTTTCTGTTGTAAGTAGATCTAATTTATTTTAATTAAGAGAAAAAAAAGCATGCAAAAGCCTTAAAATTGGCAATGCGGTTTCCTGCTTTTAATACTAATGTTGTTCTTGCTTTGCAAACAGCTTACGGCAGGCATGCTTTATAACCTGTTTTGCTGAGTGGGATTAAGATGAGTGACTCCCCTCCCCGCTTGTGTGTCCCCTCTCCGTAAGAATAAATCATTCCACCAAATCACATACTGTCGATGCATATAGATCAGACAACTCATTTAGAAATCACTGTTTCTGTCTTTCCTTTAAAATTTTAGGAAGCCCAGATTAGACAGTTGTAAAATATTATCCAAAATTATCTAAAAATTGCTTTCTAAAAAGTAAAAGTCATTTAAAAAAAAAAGGGGGGGGGAGAATCATTGCCTGAAGCTAGCACGTCTCTAGGCAAAAGCTGCTAATTATTCTTAATGGACAAGATGAGCACATTAAGAAACAAATGAACATACCAGAGAAATGATAAAAATCGACCTGGCAGTCACTCATCATCACCTGTGTATTAGTCTCATCATTCTAAAATTGTTTTTGTTGTTCTTGGCTTCTGAGTGGAGTGAACCCAGCTAGGCTTATTTACTACTCTCTTTAAGTTTCTGTCATTCTGATTTTTATCTTTTAATTTTTTTTTTTTTTTAGGAAAAATAATGTATGTTATTTCATTTTTAGTTTCTCCAGTTTTCAGCATGTGAGGCAATGGGGAGATTAGTTCTGTACCTGTATAGCACAAAAGCAGATTGGCCAGTTGTGTGGCCGTTGCCCTTTCTGAAACGTACCACCAGTCAGCTCTGTCTCTGTATCTTGACCCTGGAAAGCTAGTTGTTGATCTGAGATTTACTGCAGAGAGATGTCTAAAAAGAAGTTAAACCTGAGGCAAAAGGAATTTTATTTCTTGAATATTTTCTCAGACTCATGAGTAGGCTTCCTTAAATTTCTCCATGGTCCTGAAAGTGACTCACTGGCTTTAATCCAGAGGTTCCCCATCCTGACAACCATCTTTTCCTAAAAATACCATGTCATCCGAACCCGTAAGAATTCAAAAGATAATTGGAAATGGACTCATCTGCTTTACTGGTTCTCAATTTTGTTTTAATTATTATTTTTATTTTGTAAATACGGTGTTAGGCCTGCATGCATATCTGTACTCTATATGTATACTTGGTTCCCAGAGAAGCCAGCAGAGGGCATCAGATGCCCTGTAACTAGAGTTACAGGTGGTTACGAGCCACTCTGTGGGTGCTGGGAATCAAACTAAGCAGCCAGTGCTCTTAACCACTGAGCTCTCCAGCCCTCAAGTTTATCTTAAAATAACATTCAAAAAATACTCTTTGTTGTTTCTCTTTTAGTGCAGTAAAGAAATAAATTCCAGAGCCAGGCGAGTGGTGCACACCTGTAATCCCAGCACAGGCAGAGCTGTCTGTGAGTTCAAGGCCAGGCTAGTCTACAAAGTGAGTCCAAAAAAAAAAAAAAAATAATAATAATAATAATAATAATAATAAGAAGAAGAAGAAGAAGAAGAAGAAGAAGAAGAAGAAGAAAGAAAGAAAGGAAAAGATAAAAGAAAAAAAGAAATTACTAAATATTCACATATAATAACTACTTGGTAAGGTATATCTGATGATGGTGATGAGAAAATAAGAGCAAGAAATGGCAAGCTTAATTCTGATTTCTACAAAGCCCTCTCCAAACAATAATGAGTAAAAGTATGGGGAAACTGCCTATAATCTTAGCAGTTGGAGGTAGAGGCAAGAGGATTAGAAGTTCGAGGCCAGCATGGGTTACATGAAACTCTGTCTCAAAGCAAAGGAAAAAGGAAGGAGGGAGGGACCGAATATAGGAGGAGCATGTATGCATAAAGCTATCAGGTGGCTTGCTGACAGACCTGTGCCACCTAGGTGTCATCTCTCAGATTGTTGGAGTAAGGCACAGAATTAAGAGTAGTGTAAATCTGGGCAGTGGTAATACACACCTTTCATCCCAGCACTCATCCAGGAGGCAGAGGCAAGCAGATATGAGGCCAACCTGGTCTACAGAGTGAGTTCCAGGACAGCCAGGGCTACAAAGAGGAACCCTGTCTCAAAAAACCAAAATACATAGATAAATGGATGGATGGATAGATAGATAGATAGATAGATAGATAGATAGATAGATAGATAGATAGATAGAT